ACACCATCACCAGGTAGTACTCATCCCAGGAATGCAAGAACATTTCAATAGTGGAAAATCTATAAATGTAATACACTATATCAATAGAGTGAACACTAAAAACCACGTGATCATCTCAATTGATGCAGAAAAGGTTTCTGAGAAAGTCTAACACTCATTCTTGTTCAAAGTCCTACAGAAAATTGGAATAGAATACCTCTACTTCAATTTGATAAAAGCCATCTATAACAACTCAATGGCTAATACAACTCTAAATGGGGAAAAACTGAAACCTTTTACTCTTAGATCTGGTAAAAGACAAGAATATCCTCCATCACCACTCCTATTCAATCTCTGGAAACATTGGCTAGAGCCATTAGACAAGAGAAAGAAATAAAAGGAATAACAATAGTTAAAGAAGAAGTTAAGTTATTATTTGCAGATGACATGATACTTTACTGGGAAGACCCAAAATACTCCAATAAGAAACTACTAGAATTCATACACAGATTCAGGAGTATAGCAGGATACATAGTCAATAACCAAAAGTAAATAGCATTCCTCTACACAGATAATAAAAACAGAGGGAAATTAGAGAATGAATACCTTTTAGATTTTTTGCACTTAGGAAAATTAAATATCTTGAAATTAATCTAACTAATGAAGTCAAAGATCTTTTCAAGGAAAATTACAGAACACATAAGAAAAGTGATCATAGAGGATTTCAGAATATGGAATGATATTCCATGCTCCTGGATAGTAAGAACCAACATCGTGAAGATGGCCATACTCACAAAACTGCTGTACAGATTTAATGCAATCTCTATCAGACTACCAACAACATACATCTCATGCCAAGAGAAATCGTTCCTTAAATTTATTTGGAACCAGAAAAGACCTAGAATAGCAAAGGCAATTGTGCAACCAAGACAAGGCAGGAGATATTTCAGTTCCTGACTGGAAATTATACTCCAAGTCTACTTTGATAAAATCAGCATGATAGTGGCAAAAAAATAGACCTGAGGATCAAGGGAATAGAGTAGAATACACTGAAGCCACTTCGAATACACTCAGCCACTTTATCTTTGACAAAGGGGCCAAACATCCTCACTGGAAGAAAGATAGCTTCTTTAAAAAATGGTGCTGGAATACTGGATTTCTACATGCCAAAAACTAAAGCTTGAACCAGGTCTATCCCCACGCACTAAACTAAAGTCAAAATGGATTACACATCTAAACATTAAAGAAGAGACACTAAATCTCCTGGAAAAGAAAGTAGGAGGAACACTTGAGATGTAGTAGGCAACGAGTTCATTAACAAAAATCAAATTGCAAGGGAAACACTTGAAGGAATTAACAACTGGGACCTGCTCTTATTGAGAAGTTTTTGCACTTGAAAAGTGTTTATCTAGAAAATGAAAAGAGAACCACAAATTTGGAAAAAATTGACAAATAAGTACTCACACGAAAGTCTGTTTTATAGAATTAATAAAGAATTAAAAAACATTTGGACCTCAAAATTTGAAGACCCAGACCAAAATAGGCATCCGAGATGAAAACACACTTCTCACAGGATGAAGATAAATAAGTGAATAAATATATGAAAAAATGCTCCACATCACTATCCATCTGTGAAATGCAAATTGAAACAACGGTGCTATATTGTATCACCCCAGGAAAGAATGGCTATCATATAGCAATCAACCAACAACAAATGTTAGAAAGTCTATGAGGAAAAAGGAACTCTTCTCCACTGCTGGTGGGTTTGTAGACTGGTGCAACAATTATGGAAATAAGTGGGGAGACTCCTTAGAAAACTAGGACTGGAAATCCCATTTAAACCAGCTATTCTCCTACTGGGAATATTCCTAGAGGATCTGAAAGCATTATATTATAATGATATACATTTGCCTACATTTATAGCAGCACAGTTTGTGATAGCCACATCTTGGAAACAACCAAGATGCACATCACATGAGGAAAGGATGAAAAATTTCATATTTTTGTACAACGGTGTATTACTCAGCTATAAAGAATGATAAACTCGAAGTTTTTATATTTAAGTGGATGCAGTTAAAGATATACTCTTAAGTGAAATCAGAAAAATACGTGTAAATATAGTAGAGTTTCGCTAGTGTAAGAACTCAAAATAAGAAATACATATAGAAAGGTATAATACAATTAAAAGGAAAGCAAGAACTTGAGGACTAGACAATGAAGAGAGAGTAAGGAGAACAGCTAGGAAACATGACAGTGGCAAGCCATACAGTTGTGTATAAGATGGGTAAGGCAATGATCCTGAGAATCTTCAGAAGATTTTCAAATCTAACGGTTAATTGGAAGGATTCTCACCCTGACTAACTATATATCCTGACACCTGTGAACTAAGCAACTGCACTGAAAATGGCAATTTGTAATAGTAGGTTCATGCTTGAAGTGCTTGTCATTCTGGTCTTCTGAATACGTGCTGCTGGTCATGACATGCTAGTTGATGCCATGCTGTCTGTCAGGTAAATGATTGTTTAAAGAGAAACAGGGTGGTGAATATCGGCAGGAGATAGGTAAAGGAGTGTTGCGGGACTGTCCTGCAACAGTGTTGCACATGGTTAGATTTGTGGACTTACGTGTAAAAATACATAGTACATTATTCCTATTTTTTAAATATTTTTTTAATTTTTTTGTCATATTCTGTAGGGACTTAAAGTTTAACATATCAATACTTGATGAAAAATACCTGTTCCATGTTATGTCTCAGATGTTTGATATTCAGACAGATGTTGAAGTTAAGCTCAACAGCTTAGGTTATATGGTAATAACAATAAGCTTCTCTTCTGGAGGGCTAACAACCTAAGTTTGCAGTCCAAAAATTAGAGAAAAGTGAGGGCCACAAGGACAGCCAACATTTTGGCCCTAGACTTTCAAGGTCAATTAAGACTCAGGACATATGTGAACATGTCCTGTATCATCATGTAACTCAATAGTGTCCCAAATTTTTTAATCAAGGAGATTATGGAGCCAAAGAGGAAAGTGATTAAGGATGTAGAGTGTGCCTAAGGAGAATCACATGGAGAGAAAACATTCTCTCAGGCTTTCACAGAGAGCACATTGGCCAAGAAATGGCCGTGACTCATCCACATGGCTGATACTGACAAAGGATCTTCAATCTGAGGTACAGCATATCAGGAAAAATCCTGAGTGGATTTGACTGACCTTAACAGATCCAAAAGCTAGAACTCTTGTTGCAATAGTCTTGCTTTATCTTGGTCTTAACCATCCAGCAGAAAAGTATAAAAATGAAGTATAAGAAGTAAAGCCATGGTGTTATGTTGAGAGGTAGGGGAATCAGGTCAACAGTTTCTGACATTGCCAGTCTAGCGGAAGACCCACTACTATTATGGACTACTGAACTGTTTTAGAATATTTTGCTGAGTTCACACACCTATAATATTTAAATGGTGGAATTTAAAAAAATGATACAGATGAATGACCATTTTGTATCTGTGTATTCAAAATGGTTAAGATACATATATAGTTACAATCTCTTAGTTCAATGAATAGAGGGATTTGTTCTAATAGTGTTTGTAAATAAAATATCATGGCTGCATCTTGTACAACATGTAACCATTAGAAAAGCAGCATGCAATGTGTTAATTATTGAAACTGTCCTACCAATTTGATTTGAAACTTTCTCATTGCAATTTTTTAATAAAATGATGAACAAAAAATGATTGCTCTCTCTCTTGTGCCACTTTGCCTTGGAGCCATCTGAGCATGAACTGAAACCTCCAGTTACTGTGACCTATATAAATCGTTCCTTCCCTCATTTTTAGTGTTGGCTATCTCTCCTAGAATCAAGAGAAGAGTAACTGAGACAGTCCTCAAAAGATTATTTAAATTTTTTCCTTGCTATCTTCATTGATTTTTGCATTTGTGTGGATTTTTTAGAGGTTTCAGTCAATAACAAGTCAGCTAAAAGCTAGGTTGGCATGGTAAACAGGCATCACAAGCAGAAACAGTCGTGGCAGCACATGGTAGCAAAGCTGCAGGGAATGACACAGCTCTTTCTATTTATTATAATATCCATGCTCGTGAAGATGGGAAGCACTCACATCCTTTATTCTCTTGCCTTAATCCTATTATTGCACCATAAATTCATCCCAGCATCACATATTCTAGATCCTCCCACCTCTGAAAATTTCTATTTATGACTGCATGAAATTTTGGGAGACATAAAGACACAAGCCACAACAGCATGCCATATTCAATAGTAAGTAAAAAATATCTTTGAAATTTATCTACTTTTTCTACCTTGACAAAAATTACTTGAAAACACTGGCCTAACCCTAACCTTTGTATCCAACACCACGAAAACAGACTTTCATTCTTCTGTATTTGGTACTTTATTGGCTTTTCTGTATAATGGGATATAAAAACCTTTCTTGATTTCACCTATGGCTCCTCTCAATATTCATTCACTACATTAAAAACACTAAACATGTTTCCCCTTCTGGAATTTTCCACATTCTGTTCCTTCTCTCCAGAATGCTATGTTCCCCACATACACTTGTTCACAATGAGTAAGATCGCTTTTATCCTTTGGGATTCAACATAAAAACTTTCTTCTCTAACAGGTTTTCCATGACCACATCTCCTATAGTCTTGCTTAAAAACAACACTATTTCTGATCAAAGATGTTGGAGCTCAATATCTGGCATTATTTTAAAAACTTTGTTTCCAAAAAGAATAAGTCTAAGTATAAACTACCTTCAGTAATTTACATTTTCTCTGCTTCTTTTCCCAAACACACACACACACAGAGAGAGAGAGAGAGAGAGAGAGAGAGAGAGAGAGAGAGAGAGAGAGAGAGAGATGAGTGGTCATTACCAAACTGTTCCTCAGTGATCTGTGACAATTTTCTTCAACTTCCTATCCTATACATAGCTGACAATTGTTTCCCCAAATAATTTGCAACAATGTATCTTCTCTACACATTAATTACTTAAATAAAATGCTCAACTCACCAGAACTTCCACCTACAATATGCTGTAAGTTATAAGGATTGTTGGAGCGGCCATAGATCTTGTTGCTTGATTCATACCACATGCACAGCTCACTACAGTTTGTTATGCCAAGGGGAATGGCCCCAGCCTTCTTCAGTAATACAACTACAGTGGCATCTGTATTTGAAATTTTATGACGACGGTTCAAAAGGCCAGAAGAATTGGGCATTCCTATAATGGTAACCAAAAAGAAAGTCAAAATGTTATTACATAAAACAGTGATTATTATGTACTTAATATGAACTGAACTAGCCATTATACTAAGTACTTTGTTTATTATGAGAGGCAGCAAATATGTTTTAAAAGGACGCAGGATTTGGAATCAGAACTGAATACAAATTTGATCTTTATACCAAATTACATTTTCAAAATATAGACAAATCACTTTACATTTCAAAATCAAAATTTTCTGAGTATTAAGTGAGAAAATAAATGTTAAGTATCCAATAACATTTTAAAAAGAACAGCATTTTATGGATAGTTTGATTGTCCAATCACAATTGTTAAACAATGTTAACAATGGATTTGTATGGATATGTAAAATGATAACATCATGGTCACAAATAATAAAAAAGTGACCAGAAAGAACCCAGTATACAAGAAATTTTGTACAAATTGAATTGTCATTTAGATTAGTAAGTAAAACATGATCTTATAATTATAGGAAGAAAAGTTTATTTTAATATATAAAACCATAAATCTGGGGCAGGGCAGATGGCTCAGTAGAATAAGCACTTACCTGGCAAGTGCAAGGGTCTGAGTTCAATCCCCA